CTTGGATCATGGCTTACAGTACGCTCTCAGCATCTGTTCAGCTTAGTACAGAGAAATGAAACCTCAATAAGTAATTCAGTAGGAAGCACTTCTGAAATGAGTCTTATTTATGTTTCTAAGATTTTTCTCAAACATCACTGTTTGAGTAGTGGAAAATTAGAGCTTGAAACCATTCCACAGCCAAGGTATCATTTTATAAATATGTTGTACAGTATCAATCCTTACACTTCAAAACAGTGGAAAATCACCTTCAGATTTATTTACATGAAGAAAATCACAAGAAGATACATTAAATATTTTGTTGCTGACATTTTATGTGTAGATTTCCACTAAGGAAACATTTTATTTTCTCTGGAATAAAAATAATTATTTTTGTGCATCATTTTAAAATTGTACAGTAAAAACAATGACATGAAAACTGCATTTTATACATGTCACCGTCATATATGTTTTGATAAAATTAAATAGAATAAAAAATAAATTTCTTTTTTTCTTTTTGTACCAGGAATTAAACTCAAGACCTTGCACTTGCCAGGCAGGTGTTTATGCCACTGAGCTGTATCCCCAGCCCCCAAAAATTAAATTTCTAAGTAACTATGTCATTCTCCTATTCAGCTTAAATTAATATTTATAAAAATGTATTTTATATCTCTGCCTCTAAAAATGGTAAAAATGAACAAGGGCAAAGGAAGCTTAGAAAGAGGAAAAAGGAAGATAAATTTTATTTTTAAATAAATTCAAAGTGATACATAGTATGTGTTACATTCACACTTAAGTACACTTTGCAGTTTTAAAGGTTATACAACCTAAAACAATTTTGATAATTTAGAAATATCTATCTATTCTATATTATTCCTATTGCCTCACATTTTTATTCAAATTATTCAAAATGTATTTGTCTTTTGAACTAAGAAAAAATAAGAAAGAATAATGATTCTAATGTAAACATTGACCAAAAATGATTATAGTTTAGGATGTCAGTTGTTTTCATTTCAGTTAATAGCAGGGTTCGAAGTGGTCCTCGCAAGAAACTGTTTGAAAGGGAAGGATGAAAGTTGAGTGAAGTTGCTAACTGGAGATTTGAAGCATTGAGCTTGAAAATGTGTAAGGAAACTGCTACAAGTAAGTGAGACAATTATGAATCACTACAGCTCAAAAACTTTACCACAACTATTCATACAAGAAGTGAGATTATAATAAAATGATTTGTAGATTTGGTGAAATGATTTAAAAATAGAATTTTAGCTTTTAAAGTAATTGTTCCTTGATAAATAAAAGAGTAAGCTCAAGCTGCAAGATAATTAAAAAGAGAGCTATCCCACAGTTTTTAGAGTAGTTGGATTGAGAAATTAAATATATTGTTGAAAATACAGAAATGAAGTCACTTACAATCCTTGAGAATCCAGCTTCAGGTGAAAGAAAAATAAAGGATTCAAAATTTGAGAATGAATTAGTGGCTGTTATTATACTATAGCAGCTGGAAGAATTGCAAATACAAAAGACAATAAATATGTTGTCACATGACCACCTAAAAGGATTAAAATAAAGTCAAATAGAATGGCATGGTCATAAAGTAATCTTTTGTTAGAAATATGAAAATAAAACCCATTTCATGAAGTATTACTGAGTTGTAGCTAGAAGCCAATATTGTCTTTATTTTGAGATGATTTTTTTTATTCTGATGTAATTTAGGCATTTGTTTCTTAGATAACCTGAAGGTTTATTATTGTGCTTTAATGTAAAAGTTATGTTATTGTTTTCTTCCATTAAAAGTTGATTTGATCCTTCCTTAAAGATAATTGAATCTTTGAGCTGCTGCAAAGGATTACACTTAGTCATGCTCAAATTACATCATCGAAAGTGATTACAAAGTTCTCTCTACTAGCAACAAAATCTTTAGAATATAAGCTTCCACAGACCTCAGCATGAAGCAAAACAGCACAATAGACAATAGTAACACTAGAAGAAATGTGAAGAAATGGTTTAAAAAACCCTCAACTCCCCTGGAACCAATTCAAGAAATAAAAAAGGACAGAATAGTACAAGTCATGCACTATAATTAATTGAAAGGATGGCAGAGAAGGTAAGAAAACAACTCATAGAGGTACTAAGAGGATTGAGGAAGCTATAACTAAACTGATAATGGAAGGAATAACCAAAAAAGTGAAGAAGTAGAAGCACCAGTAAAAACCTAGAGATGCTAAACAAAATTAAAAATTATCAAACTGATCAAAGGATCAGTTTTCCAAAGAATTGGAGCCCATAAAAAGGCTTCAAGAAGAAATTAGTGACATATTGAAGGGATGGGCAGGAGATCCAACTGACATGGAGACAGAAATTCAGAGCTAGAAAAAAACTGTGCCTTCAAAGACCAACAGAACAAAGACAATTTTAAAACAACAAGGAAATATGAAACTTAGACTAATAATGGTTGGATGATGCAAAGACTAATCTGAAAAGAATTGGAATATAAAAAATCAGTAGACAATACCATAAAAATACTGTTCAGAAGAATAATGAAAGAAAACTTCCCAAGTAGAAGGAAAGAGATAAACATAGAAATAAATGAGGCACATAGAACTCCAAATTGCCATGACCAAAAGAGAACATCTCCATGCCACATTATACTCAAAATACCAGAATTCTGTAACAGGGATAAAATCTTAAGAGCTGTTAGAGAAAAACTACACATCATATATAACTGTAAATCCATTAGAATTATAGTAGACTACTCAAATCTTAAAGGTCAAGAAGGCTTGGAGTGAAATATTTCAAATCCCAAGATACAGTCATCCAATTTCAACTTATGTATACTGCAAAGCTTTCCTATATAACTGATGAAGAAATAAGATATTTCCTTAACAAGGAGCAACTCAAGAAAATCATGACATGCAAATCAGTGCCACAAATAGTCTCAAGGGTACCCTAGAAAGAGCCAAAGGAGCCAATGAGTCAAAAAGGGAATGAATATACCTGGCAGGATGAGGACTTCAGCAAAATGGAAATAAATGAGGAAATCAGCAACAAGAAAGTAATGCAGTGACAAGAACAGTAACTCCAGTAACAAGTCCCAATATGAATGGTTTCAATTACCTTGACAAAAGACACAGACTGGCAAGATGTACCATGAAAAAGTCTCAACAATATACAATACAGGAGAAAAATATTTAATTCCAAAAAACTCACAGACTCAAAATCAAAGGGTGGGGAACAGCATTCCATGCAATGAGAACCAAACAAAACAAAGTAAAGAAAGCAGACATTACTATCTTAATTTCAGACAAATTGGATTTTATACTAAGACTCTTCAGAAGAGACAAAGGAAATCATTACATGTTGGTTAAAAGAACAATTAAACAGAATGAGTGAACAATTACAAACATGCGTACACCAAATACCAAGAGGCACTCATTCATAGAAAACACTTCTGTGAAACATAAGAAATAATAAAAAAAAACTACCAACAAATAAAACCTTAGGTCCTGATGGACTCATTGCTGAATTCTTCACATAGCTTACAAAAGATTTACTGACAATATTTCACATCTCTTTAATGAAATCAAAAGAGAAACAGCACTCCTAGTGTCATTCCTGGAGGCAGTTATTACTCTGATTCCAAAACCTTGAAAGGAACCAAACCACCAAAAACATAATAATTATAGGCCAATTTCTTTAATAAACATAGGTGTAAAATCTTCAATAAGATACTGGCAAAAAAAATGCAGAAATTCATCAAAAACATCATATACCATAATTCATGCCAAGTAAGAATCATTTCAGTGATGTAGGAGTGGATCAATATATGCAAATCTATAAACTTAATACACCACATAAACAAAAAATGACAAAAACTACATGATCATCTCAATAAGTACAGCAAAAAACATCTGAAAAACTGCAATATCTATTTATGATTTTTAAAATTCTGAAGAAAACAGGAATAGATTTTTTATATCAACCTGATAAAAACCATTAATGAAAAACTGATAGCTAAAATCATAGTAGATGAAGAAAAACTGATGACTTTCCTCTAAAATCAGGTGTGAGATAAAGATATTCACATTCTGCACTTTTGTTCAACATAGTTCTCAAAACATTAGTTAGAGCAATTAGACCAATAAAAGAAATACGATTATAGGAATATTCAAGGAAGAAGTTAAAATTTCAATATATGCAGATGACAAGATCCTCTATGTAAAGGAGCCCCAAAGTGGAACAAAATACTTCTAGAATTAATAACCACTTTCAGTAGCATAGAAGGATGCAAAGTCAACATTCAAAATTTAATAGTGTCCCTGTGCACCAATATCAAACTCACTAAAAGGGAAATTAGAGCAACAATCCCTTTTACAAGAGCATCACCAAAAATGATTGGCACAGAAATTATCCTTAGCAAGGTAATGAAAGAGTTCTACAAAGAAAACTAACACAGTAAGTCCTTGGTTTAGGAGCATAATTCATTCCAGAAACATGCTTTTAATCTAAAATATTTCTATATCAAAAAGAATTTCCCAATAAGAAATAATGGAAGCTCATTCCAGAACCCCAAAGTACTTGTATAAAAATAACTTTAATACTCTAACATAGTACAAAATAGTAAAGAAAATACCAAATATAAGTAAAAATAAGCAAATTAACTTGCAATTTCCTTTGAAAATCTTTGTGGCTGTTGTGAGGGAGACAAGAGTGAGGAGGATTATTTTATATGATGATTCTCACTGTCACTGATGGCTGTATATGGGCTCTGTGGAATGTTTTACTTTTTGTGCAGCTTTAATAAGGACCATGTACAGTGGCTCACACTTTTGCCTCCTTTCGAGGATTTCTTGGAAATGTGACATTGCACTGTCATTAAACAGATTCATCACTTGCACTGCTCCAGCATTGTTTAGGTGGCGATTTTCTATAAAGCTGTACATTGATTCCTGTATTTTATGTATATCCTTAATCTCATTTGAAGCAAAAAATTCCTCCATCGCTTCTCGGCCTTTTGGCTAAGATCAAGTGCAAAAAATTCCTCCACATTTTCCTACTCCTCTTTTGACAGTGAGATATCCTCCATGAACTCTTGTCCTTGGGAGGTAATTATCCAGAGCCCTACAACAGGAGAAAGAGAACTATTGGCTCAGTTATGATCATGTGACATTCAAGAGTATGTACCGCTTATATTGGAGACATGACTCCTTTACAAAGTTAAAATTTATTAAAAATGTTTGCTCATCTTGCATAACACAGAAAAAAATACAATTCAAGGATTTATTTTAATTTGAAAAAGCCAATTGATGTGGATATCAGAAAATTGAATATATCCCATATTCCTGGTTTGGCAGAACAATATATTTGAAATGGGAATACTTCTAAAACAGTTATGTAAATTTAGTACAATCTCAACCAAAATACAAAATTGCAGAAAGAAACCCTAATTAAATTTGAAACAAGAAGAGCAAAAGCCATTATGGGAAATAGGAACAAGGCAGGGAGCATTTCTATCCCAGACTTCAAATTATACTACAAAGGTAGAATGATAAAACAATGTCGCATTGGTAAAAACGGGTTGGGGATTGATAATACGGAATAGAAGATACAGAAACAACTCCCAGCACACTCAGTTATCTTTGAAAAGGGGACCAAGTCCACTGAAGAAAATATAGCCTCTTAACAAATAGTGCTGGGACAAACGGCTATCCACCTTCTAAAGGTTGAACTTAGACATATATCTCTCATTATGCACTAAGGTAGAGTCAAAATGGATCAGAGATCTAAACGTTAGAACAAGAATAGTTAATCTGTTTGAAGACAAATTAAGTAAAACTCTTGCTGATACAAGAGTAGATAACAATTTTGTGAGCAAAACCCTGGTTGAACAACAAATAATTGTAAGAATCAACAAATGGAATCATCAAATTATATATCTTCTGCACAGCAAAGGAAACCACAAATAGAGTGAAGAGACAATCAACAAAATGATAAAAAATGTGCTAGAAACTCCTCAGACAAATGACTAATATGTAGGATATGTGAAAAAAAATACATCCCCTAAATTTATAGACCCAAAACAAAAATATGCATGTAAAATGAATAGATACTTCTCAGATGAAGATTTACAAGCAACAAAAACATGTGAAGAAATGTTTAACATTACTGCCCATAAGAAAAATATAAACTAGAACAACGAGATTCCATGTCACTTCAGAAAAAAAAAAAAAAGCTATCATAAAGAAATCAACCAATAACAAATAAAGACACAGCACTGGGAAATATAAGCACTTTCTCATCATCAGTGGGAGTGTAACCTGATACAATCGTTATGAAACTAAGCATGGAGATTTCTCACAATATTAAAAAAGAAATTTCATTTGACCTAAATATTACCCTTTTTAGGTATTTTCCCAAGAGAGTTAAAGACATACCACAGTGATGAATACGCGCTCAAGTTGATAGCAGCATAATTTATATTAGTTAAATCTTGGAAAATCCTACATGTCCATCAACTGATGAAAGGAAAAACAAAATTGTCTTATTTATACCAAATAGGATGCTACTGTGCCATAAAGAAGGATAGACTCAAGTCATTTGTAGGAAAATGATGGGGACAGGGAATAAATAAATATCACGTTATACTATTGTTATGGCTTGTATCTTGATTTCCCACCAAAACATCATGTGGTCATAGCTGAGGAATTTAAATGGGGCTGAAACGGGAGGTGTGACCCTGGGATTATGGGTGTGGCTAAAGGCAGACCCACCCTGGCTCTGAGTGGTACCAATCAAGAGTCTTAGAGCCTGGATGGAACATAAAGGGATAGAAAAAAACAAACTTTGTGCTGTTGTTTGCTGCTTTGGCCGCTTGGTGCCTTCCTACTTGCCATGCCATGGAATATTTCTCCTTAGCGATATCCCCCTTGTCGTGCCCCACTGCTTCCTGGCCAACCAGTTATGAAACCTCTACAGACTGTAGGCTAAATGAAACTTTTCCTCCATTAACTTTGTATTTCAGATATCTTGTCTCAACAAGGAGAAGAGTAACTTGTACACTGTCAAAAAGCATTTCTTAAATTGTTTAGAAATACTCTTCCATATTTAACTTTTTTCTATATTTCATGATTGATGCCTCATTGAGACAAGATTTCATTAATTCTATATTTTTAACCTATGCATCTTTTCTTTGTTTTCCACCTCTGCCTTCTTCATGTACCCTGGGAAATTGCCCGTTAGCTATTATCATTAATTTATTTTGCTTCCAATCTGTGAAGATGATACTTACAGGCTTTGCTGTGTACTACACTTAATGAAAATATTTCAATTTATTCCACAGGTTTTATTTTTAAACTTATGGCATCTTTACTAAAGAAATTAAATGCTGAGAGTAGGATATGTAGAACAGAAATGCTGGGAGTGAATTAGAAAAACAAAAAAAGCAGAAGAAAAAACATTGGGGAGTGGGCAAACATCAGTATTTGCTTAGTCTTTCGAAAGACTATCATTTCTGATAGACTTCCTTCATGCCAAGAAAGACTATCAGAAATAGTCAGTGGGATTTCATTTGGATTATGGTTTATAAAAGATAAATAAAATATGTCAATGGCCAAAAAAGAAGATTCAAGATATTCTCACTTAGGAAACATTAGAAAAATTAATTGTTGCCCTAAATTAGCACCTAAATTTGTGAAATGTCTTAATACATATTTCAAGGCACAAGATGCATTAAAACTACACTGCTATTTCCCCTTTTATTATAACACTACTGTACTGTGTGTTAACTCTTTACATAATATCAAGAAGCCACTAAAATCAATGCCATAGATGTATAAATAGAAAGAGAATGGGAAGGTAAGAAATTGGGTAGTAATGACAACTATGACTTTAAGATTTTCTCATTAACTAATGCAGCAAAAGTATATACTTTGGTTCAGTGTCAGTGGTCTGCTGGAAATAAGTAGGAAGTGAGTGAGCTATTCCAGTGGTCTCAGTTAGATTTTTGTCTAACCCACTATTTGATGGTTTTCATGAAGGACTGCTTACCCAGATTGCTCTGTAAGGGATAATGTGTTGAGCTCACTATTTTTTCTGTTTCTTTGAAGAACACTTACAAACGACTACCTTTAAAAGTCAGCAGAACAAAGAACTCACAAGATCACATAGTTACAAAAAATCTGTAGATCTGTAGATGATTTAATCCTAAGCATACTATTAATTACTTTTCAATTAGCAATAATCGTGCCTCGAATAAACCTCATTGGCTATGATACTGTCACTGTGCAAAGATTCCTATTAATCACTTTTGAGATAAAGTACTAGCTTATGAAGATAAAACCCCAGGACGTTTGCATATGTTATATTTTTCCTCAGCTGATCAGAAGAGTTTTCTATCTCACCTTTAAAATACTACTTACCTTTCAGCTCAAGTTGCTTCTTCTGTTAGTCTTGGATATGAACATAAAATGTCAAGGTAGTTAAAATCATTAGGAGCATTTTAAGAGAAGGGACATACTGAGTTCATTTACTAAGAAGGATTTTATTCTGATGTGTTTCAGAGATTTGTTTTCTTTTAAATGTGCTTCAGAAATTTTACATGCTCTATTTTTTCACTGAATGAGAAATTTTCTAAAACCAAATATCCTGTAAGATATTGAGGTACTCAGTTTGTTATGATAGTGTCTTTTCAGTATATTGAAACTTACATAGCCTAAGAGAACCACGCAACAAGTTAATAAAATCACAACTCAGAATGCCACCATTTCTATATATCAGTCACTATAGACTGTAGCAACGACTTCTAATGTTTAAGTAAAATCACCTCTAACCTGTAAATTATGCTCAAGTGACCAACAAATCACTCTTGGAAGACTATAGAACATAAGTATAGAAAACTCTTTCCCAGAATTGCTTTTGCAAAGCTTAACTGGACATCTTTGCATAACTGGACATCTTTTGGTGGTGAGAATATTTTAAACAGACTGTATTACATGTTTATTTGATACTGAAAACATGGTCAACTATCATAAAGTATTTCTTTTCATCACAAAATTTCCATATATTAAAGAGTCACACAATCTGGGGAAAAATCTAGAAACTCATTTTTTCTGAGTACTATATCTTCTAAAATGGCTCTGCAAACTGTAAGTAGTTCATAAGTATCTAGAAATCTGTCCATTTCCTCTGTGTTTTCCATCCTGTGAGAGTAAAGATTTTTGAAGTAGATATTGATGATCTTCTGAATGTCTACAGGATCTGTAGAGATTTCATCTCTTTCATTCCTTATTGAATGAAATTTAAGTTTCTTTCATTTTCAAAGTATGGCTAGGGGTTTATCAATGTTATTTATTTTTTTCAAAGAACCAACTTTGATTAATTAAGTTTTGTATTTTTTTTAGTCTCTAATATATTAATTTCTGCCCTGAGCATTATAATTTCCTGCCTTCTCTGGGCTTTGGGTTTGACTAGTTCTTTTTCTAGAAGCTTGAATTGTAATGTAAGATTGTTTATTTGTGATTGTTTTTTTTTTTTCCTGAGGTGGGAATTCACTGCTATAAATTTTCCTCTGAGGACTGCTTTCATTGCATCCCACAGGATTCTGCAAGTTTTATCTCCAGTTTTGTTTGATCGTACACAGTGTTTAATTTCTTCTAGTGTTTCCCTAGTGTAAGAATATGAAAGAGTAAATAAAACCCAAAATGTACAATAGATAATATGAAGGGGAAAGAAATTGCACAAAAGAAGGAACAACTGGGATGAGGAACAAAAGAAAAAGAAAGTACTAAGGAAATATATATATATATATGGCAATATATATGTATCTGTATATAGAAGGATAGCTGGGATAACTGTACTATTGATGTCCAGTGGTTTATTGAAAGGAACAGTTAATATTTAATTTAAATATATATTATATATGTATATAATATATAATATATATAATATATATTTTGACCAATTTTGCACACATATCTGGTAATCTGAGCAACTTACATGAAGACAACAATATGCAATATAACAACCATTGGTAAATTCCTACCATCCTGTTACTGAAACTTTATTGTCTCTAATATTTTCTTATATTATTATTATTATTTTCTTATTTTAAGAATAATAAATTATTATTTTCTTATTTTCTTTAATGGTTTGATCAATCTTCCATTCTTACATATGGTAATCTGAGCAACTTTGTTGAAGATAATATAACAACCGCTGTTAAACCTTATTTGGTTGAAATTCCATATCATTGTTAATATTCTTGCTTTGTTTCACTTGCATTTTGTTATTGTTCTTTTTTTTTTTACTATTCTTTCTAAAATAAGAAACAGTCTTGAGTAGGTGTATCATACCCTGCAGTGCAATGCTTGAGTACTTCAACACACCACTCCTCTATTTCATGTAAATTGTTCCTCAGTACAAACTGTATAGACTTTTCTAGTAAAGGATCTGTTTTAATCAGCATTTCACCGATATCCCGAAAGGTTTGATATGTGGTTGGTAACCTGTCCTGTCTCTTTTGTTTTCCTTTCTGTGCTGTGGAGTGACTACTGAGCTGATTGTGCGAATAATTCTGTACTGTCTCTTCATTTTACTGTGGTCCCTCTGGATGGTCAATGAATAACGTTGTTGTGGTGCCTGCCTCAAATGAGAAATCTCAGGCAAGTTGGTCATCTGACTTCCGGAACTTTTCAGCAGCCTACTTGCCTGCAGCCTCAGCAAGGTGTTTTTTACTTAGTCTATTGAGTTTGTCTAACATCTTTGATGTAGTAGCTGCTGAAAAATAGCTGTGTGATGTGTCTCTTGATGTTTTCAAAGCCTGGCAGGTCTTTCTAAACTTCTATGTTAAGACTATGGCAAGACTATGTTTTGCTTCAGTCTGGAGAATAGCTTTCGCTACTGACACTGCAGCCAGATCTGCTGTCTGGTGGGTCCCTGAGAAACTACCAGAGGCAAAAGAACTGTTCACTTTGTTAAATTTATTAAAAAGACTTATTAACATATGTTTAAGTGGAGGTTCAACTGCTAATTTCCTCTTCTTCTTTTCTTCCAAATTACATTGAATGTGTAAAGTTGTTAATAGCTTGCCTTCATCATTATTCTTCTAAGATTGTGTATTCTGCTAAGTGTTAAAATGTTTTAAATGTATTTTAAAGCCTGATTTTAGATAGATAAATTTAGATGTGTACGGAAGTATGTAATTTGCAAAATTTTCTTGATTAAAGAGATTTGTTTGTAAATTAGACATTGTTTTGCGTATAGCCAATTGATGTGATAAAATTTCCATTGTCTTCTCCTAAAGCCTTGATGATCAACAGGGGCAAGCAGGTATTGCACAATTTTTTATAAATTTGAAAAATGCAAAATAAGGCAAACAAATCTTTTAAAAATTCAATGGATTTTCTAAGTCTCTGTTTTTCAGTGTAAATGTATATAAATATCACTTCATAGTTCACAGGAAATAAGGATTTAAAATATGAAAAAGATATAGGACATATTAATGCTTTATTTAATTTTGCACATATTATTCTGAAGTCACTGGCATTTTTAATACAGACATTTTGGAAATATGATTTGTTGGTAATAATAATATTTGCTTCATTAATTTTAATATCCAACATATTTGATTAAGTGAATTTCTTTTTCTCCCTGAGTTCATTTTTCACTACTGCAAGTATGTGTTACACAACGATTATATTTCTTGTGGGAAACTGGAGCATAAACATAGACTTTTCAGTTATTTTTTACTCCCCTTTCTCCCTGCTCCCTTCACTTTTTGATTTCCTTTCTAATTAAAAATACCTATCTCTCTACTTCCCATTACATATCCTTTACTTTGCTCTTTATTTACATTTTGAGTTTCTCATATAAGAGGAAACATGAAATACTTAACAGAACACATCTGATTTATTTTACTTAACATTTTGACAAGGTCCATTTGCTTTCCTACAAATGACTCAAGTATATTCTTCTTTATGTCAGTGTAGTATTTTATTGTGTATTTTCTTTAATCATTCATCTATTAATGGATATGTAGGCAACTCTCAAGATTGACTCCTATAAATTGAGCTGCTACAAATGTAGCTATGCATGTATCAATGTAATACAATGTTATTGTTTGTTTTGTCTTTAGTTTTGCTTTGTTTGGATTTTTGGGAGTATTCCTAGAATTGGGACAGCTGGGTCACATGGAATTTCATGTTTTAGATTTTTGAGAAACCTCAATGGCGATTTACACAGTGGTTGTAATAGTTTATATTCCCACCAACAATGTAGAAGAATTACTTTTTCACTACATCCTCAACCAGCATTTGTTATTATTTGGTTTTTTTATTATAGTCATTTTTGTAAATTAAAATGGAATCTCAGAGTTGCATTAATTTGCATTTCTGTAAGGGTCAGTAATGTTGAACATTTTTGTTGATGAATTTATATAGTTTTCCTGAGAAATGTCTGTTCATTTCATTTGCATATTTTGTGACTGGGTCTTTTTTGTGGCATATTTTTATTTGTACTTCCTTACATATTCAAGATATTGGTCCCTTTTCACAAGAATAGCTGGCATGTTTTCCCATTCTGTTTGTTGTCTATTCACTCTGTTGATTGTTTCCTTTGTGTGCAGAGGGTATTTAATTTGATATCATACCATATATTGATGATTAGTGCTGTATTTCATGACACTGGGATTCTTTCAGAAAGTCCTTGCCTATGTATGCCTATATCTTGAAGAGTTTTGTCTATTTTATCTTCAAGCTGAATTGATCCATTTTGATTTGTTTACTACATGCCTAAATAAGTAGTTCTAGATTTAGTTTTCTGCAGGCCAATAGCCAATTTTTCATGCCATCATTTATCAAACAGGGTATTTTCTCCCAGTATATGTTTTTTGCCCCTTATCAATGACTAAATAGTTGAATTGCCTGAGGGCTTTTTTTTTTTTTTTTTTTTTTTTTTGGCCTGATGTTGTTTCTGAGTGCTCTAATCTGTTCCATTGTTCCACATGTCTATTTTTACACCAGTATAATACTGTTTCTATCACTGTAACTTTGCAGTATAACTCCAGATCTAGAACTGTGATGCCTCTTTCTTTGCTTTTGCAACCATTACTGCTTTGCGTTCCTGGTTTACTGTGAACTTTAGGATTGTTTTCTCTCATTCTGTGAGGAATACTATAGATATTTTGATTGAGGTTACTCAGAATCTGTACAGCAGTTGTAGAAGAAAGACCATTCTGACAATATTAATTTTCCTCATTCATAAATAGGAGATAATATTGTATTTTGTAATATCTTCTTTTGTACTTTTTTTCAGAATTATGTAGCTTTCATTGTAGAGTATGTGTCCCTTTCATTTCCTTCTCTTGCTTGATTGCTTTGGCAGATATTTGAAGAACTATATCTAACATTAGTTGTGATAGTGGACATGGTTGCATTTTTCCTGATTTTAGAGGGAATACTTTCTGTTTTTGCCCATTGAACAAGATTTTGGCAGTAGGTGTTTCATAAATTGTTTTTATCACATTGTGATAAGATCTTTCTGTACCTATTTTTTCAGGGTATTAATCAGGAATACATGTTGAATTATGTCAAAGACCTTTTCTGTGCCTCTAGAGATGGTTATGAGATTTTTGTCCTTGATTATGTTTATGTGATATATTTGTTACACATATTCATGTGTGCATATTGAAAAATCCTTGCATCCCTGGGGTGAAGACTACATGGTCATGATGTATGATCTTATTGATGATTTGTTACATTCTGCTTGCCAGTTTATTGTTGAGGATTTTTGCACAAGATTGCCATACAGGGCCAGGGATATAGCTCAGCGGCATAAGTGCTTTCCTGGCAAGCTTGGGGTCATGAGTTTTATTCCTGGTACTAAAAAAAAAAAAAAATAATTGGCCCTATACTTATATTTCTTGGTTTGCTCCTTGTCTAGTTTTAGAATCAGGGTACTTCTAGATTCCAGGATTGACTTTAGAAGTACTCTTTTCTTTCATATTTCATTAAAGGGTTTGAGAAATATTGGCATTAAATCTTCTGTGAAGGTTTTGTAGAAATCTGCAGTGAATCCTTTGGGACCTGGGTATTATCTTTTAGTTGCTAGGTTGTTGTTAATGTTTCATTTCATTGCTTGGTACTGGATTATTTAAGGTTTTTATATCTTCTTGGTAATGGGAATATGCAGGTTTTTGAATTCTTCATTGTATTGGCAGATGGATGAAAACAAATTGCTAATATTCTAGATTTCAGTAGTATTTGTTGTGATTTTTACTTTCCCTTTCTAACTGCACTGAATTGAGTCTTTCTTCTTTTATTTTCTTGGTGAGATTACTAAGGATTTGTTTACTTTGATAATTGTTTGGAAAAATCAGTTCTTTGGTTCACTGATACTTTGCATTGTTTTGTTTTCATTTGTTTCCATTTCATTTCATTAATTTCTGCCATGATTTTTATTATTTCCTTCTTTGTACTAGATTTTGATTTTTACTTTTCTATTTGTTTTAGGACTTTGCATTATACCATTAGGTTAATTATTTGAATTCACGTTGTTTTTTCTGCTGAGGGCATTCAGAAATATAAACTTCCTTCTTAGGATTACTTTATTTCCCATAAGTTCTGACATGTTGTACTGGCATTATTGTTTGATTCTAGGAACTGTCCTACTTCTTTCTTTATTTCTTCTGGGACCTATTTACTATTCAAAAGCGTATTTTTACATTTATATTTGTTTGGAAAGTTCCCTTGGAATCTTTTGTCATTGGTATCTATATTCATTGTGCTGTGATCTGATAGCATGCATTGTATAATTTTGGTTCTTTTTCATTTGCTGAAGCATGGCATATTGGCTAGTATATGGTCTTTTTTGGAAAAAGTTTCATGTGCTTCTGAGAAGACTGTGTATTCTGTTGTTTAGGGACTAAACATTCATAGACATATGTTGAATCCATTAGCTTGAAGGTTTGGTTCAACGTTGATATTTCTATTTAGATTTTTGTCTAGTTGATATATTTGTCACAGGAGGGTGTTGAGACCTCCCACTATAATTGCAATGATGTTTATCTGATCTTTTATGTGCACTGTTTGTTTTATAAATTTGGATGCACTGCTATTGGGTACATATGTGTATATAATTGCTATCTCTTCATGTAGATTCATTTCTTTACCCAATATCTAATGATGTATTTGAACCTCTTCTGGTCAGATTTGGCCTGCAATCTATTTGATCTATCTGTAGGATATCTAGCTAGTCCTATTTATTTTCATTTTTATATTGCATAGAATGTATTTGTCCATCCTTTGATTTTTTAGTCTGTGATGTTTCTTTTTTTTTTTTTTTTGGTTTTTCTCCAGTACCAGTAACTGAACTCATGACCTTGCTTTTGCCAGGCAGGCGCTTTTGCCACTGAGCTAAATCCCCAGCCCCATGTGATGTTTCTTTTTATTAAGTATACTTTTTGCATGAAACACAGCATTAGATTTTTCTTTATTTTTTTTCTACCATTCTGTTGTCTTTTGAATGGAGAATTGAGACCACTCAAAGTGAGAGTTTTCACTAAATGTATTGAGTGATTCTTGACATTTCATTACTTCCTTGCTAACGATTCCCTCACTTTGCCTTCTTAGTGTCTGTTCATGCTTCTTGCTGTATTCATTTTATTGAACATTTTCTCATTGTTATCTCATTGTCTCTTCCTTGGATAGCCTTGAGAAGTTTTTTGTAGTGCTACTTTAGTAGTCATGAATTTCATTACATATTCTTTATCATGAATATATCTTATTTCACCACAGATTTTTAAAGATACTTTCACAGGATATAACAATGTGGTTTGGATGCTGTTTTCTTTTAGGGCTTGAAGAACTCACTACAAAATGTTATGGTCTTTAAGTTTTCTGCTAAAAAGTCTGCTGCAATTCTAATGAGTTCCCCTTTATTGTTGATTTGTTGATTTTCTTTAACAGCTTTTAGGATACTGTTATTTTGTTGGACTACTTGAATTTTGAGTATGATGTACTGTAAAGAGGAACTTTTCTGATTGTGGTTATTTGGTGCTTTATCTTGAAAGTCCTCTGCTACCTTTTCTGTAAAAAGATTTTTTATGCCATTTGTACTGTCTTCTGATGTTTCACCAATTCTGATTAGTTTCACTTTTCTCTGCATCATGTAGCAGGTATTTGGATTCATTTTTCATGGTTGTTATTTCAAAGATACCTTTCAGTAATATGTCATCAAACAGCTCTGTTTTCTAGTTCCGACTCTCCTCACAATGGACACGTTTGTTGCCCATACTTTCTCCTCAGCTTTTCTTTTTTTTTTTTTTTTTTTTTTTTTTTTTTTTCCGGTACGGGGAACCGAACTCACGACTTTGTGTTTGCCAGGCAGGCGCTTTTGCCGCTGAGCTAAATCCCCAGCCCCTCCTCAGCTTTTCTTTAGTATCTTTTCATGAGCCTTAATTCTTTCCTGTGTTGGATGTTTATGTTTTCTATCATTTTGTTTAGCTCAGCTTGCTTTTCATCACTGTCTTTTGTAAACTCTGTGATCATTGTATTAGGTCCATTATCTGTTCAGTTACATTTTCTTTGAAGTCTCCAAGAACGTTAGTGATTTTTTTAAACTCCTCTGTTAAGCTTTTGAATAACTCTACTATGCACTTATTTCTTCTTTCTCAGTGCCCCATGAATTAACTTTGGGGATGTTGGAAGTTTTTGGAGGCTTTGTCACTTTGTGTTTTTGTTTGGTTAGTGGATTGATTATAGTGGAATGTTTCTGGTTGCATGGAAAATGCTTTAGTCGAGTGTCTGCTCTTCAGTGATGCACTCATTGTATAACTAACTATAAGTCTTTGCCTCTGTCACAGAACCCAGCTATCTGTCTTTCTGTGTGATGGGATGGGAGGTTGCAGTGTATTTAGCTAAGTACCCAGTTTTCTGGGAATGGACCACAGAGTTGTTAGTGACATTAAAGCAGTCCAGATATTATCATACAGAGAAAATCAGCTGCAAGCAAAAATAATGTCAGGCTGGCTATAGTAATAAAATCAGCCATCAATAATATGTCAAAAACAAACTAAATATTGATGTAATCTAAGAATTACTAATATACCACCTTAGTCATAGAAAAAAGTTCTGTAATTGTAGTATAAATACTCAGACAAATCAAATATTTATCTATAGTCCATACATATTAATTAGAATAGCTTTATATCCACAAATAATACTGCAGTGTTCAACAGTAATGGCCATGTGCTAGCTATCTAGAAATTCATTAAATCTTTCTGATTATACTGGTAAACACGGAGTAGGGAACTAGAGAATATGCAAAGTAAAATTTGAAATATTAATCAATGGAAGATGAGAAGGAGACCGAAAATGGATATAGGTGATTGTAGTGAGGTGGAAAAAGAAAGTTAGTATTAATTAATAGTAACTGAAGGCAAACAAGAACAGAATAAAGAAAAATAAGAAAGGAAACATATTAAAGGAAATAAAACTTAAGAAATAAAAGACCAACTCCCCCCCAAAAAAAACTGAAAAAGAAAGAAACTGAAAAAATAAGGCTCAGTGATAAAGGAAAAAAAAAACATCTGTGTTTTTAAATTATTGGTTTCTTTCCCAAATCTTTCGTCCTGGAATCCAGCAAGTCATGATTTTCTCCACTTAGTTTTATGCTCTGTGGGTCTCGGAAGTGCGCTCCCTGGCTTAGGGTGTCCATATGTGCCCAGAGCGTGGCAAAGATGTAAGCTGAGGCATGTCTTTGCTCTCATGGGCACATGGGAAAACCAATCAGCACTCTACTGTCTGCTGGATATAAGTCACAAGGCAGGGTCCTGCAGGTTATTGGACTTAATGCCAACAATTTAAGCTCCAACCTCCTCTCTAGGCCTGATTTTTATCTACAGAGGGCAGGGCCTGTTTCCTCCTAGACTGAGCTTACAGTTCACAGGGGAGCTATGCTTAGCATTTGTTCACTCCCCAGCTATCTCCTATGGTGTCTCCCACACAGTCCCTGTGGAAGAACAACCCTGGAAACCCTCAAGTGGATTTTTCCTGTTATTCAGTCTTAACCTACTTTCTAAGCAAAGCCTGGTTAAACTCTGTCTGGTTATATGCTGGGCCCTACTTTCAGTTTCTTCTCCAACTGTAGGCTTCTGGACAGGTGCATTACTTTTGCCTGGGCTTACTTTCTCTTCTGGAGCAATGGCTTCATCCACAGTCAGGTTTGCCAGTTGGGCAACACCACTTCTGGCCATGCTGACTGGAAAACAGACATGGAACAGGCTTGGAGCTGCTCGAAGACTCCAGGTTGGTATGACTTCCACGGGCAGATTCTTTGCAGCAAAGGGCATGTGAGGCTGGCTTCTTCTCTCCATGAGGAGTGCATGGTGAGTTACTCTATTTCATTTTTATTTTAATGAACTACCAAAGAAATAGTAATTCATTTTTTATTTTTGTCAGATTTCAAATTTAAATTTAATGTAATTTAAATATTATACTCATGTTCAATGTAAAACTTTATTAATTTTTAAAAAAATTTTATATAATGGTTGTTATAACTTTACAAAAGAATGAAATTAAAACAATCCATACACATTCACCTATTAAGGGATTCATAATAGCCCTGCTAAACATTTTCCAGAAATTCAATTTTTTCCCTCTAATGCTAAAATAAGAAGGCAACCATATGTTTAGGTACAACACAACCAAGTTGCTTGCAATAGGCTTGCAAGGATGGCTTTTCATAAACCCATTTCCAGTAGACTCTGCCTCACTCCCATCTGACATCTCCTCTACATCACTTTTACTGTCCGCACTTCCATCTACATTGTTACCATGAGCACCTAAATAGTCTCTAAGAAATTTTAGGTCCTTCCTAGTCTTGTCTTTTGAACCCTCAGGAGAATCACTCACAGCCTTCCAAATTATAACATTTTTGGATTTCTTTTTTATTCCCTCCAAACTCTTGCAAAATCTGTCCATGGTAAAGTTACATGCCATATATATTTTATTCATTTATTGTTATACTATGCTCCCTTAAGTAGCAAATTTCCTGTCTTAATTTGCGTTTCGTAACAGAACCTGCTGGTAGATAATGTGGAAATAAAAGAGGTTGAATTATTAGCTCAAGGTTCTGGTGACTAGAAAGGTTAAATAACACGTTAATAGCATTGTTTTCAAAACCCATTTGTATGTGACAACAGGGTGTAAGGCATCACACAATGGCAACAGATGCAAGTTAGGAAGGGGTCACATGGCAAGAGAGAAGGCAAGAGAGCAGGGGAGGAGCTACATTTGCTGTGAAGGGAATTAAGCCATTCTTGGAAGACTTGCTTTAAATTCTCCATGAAGATAGTCAGAGTTATTCATCTAGTCACCTACCACTGCAGTCCATCTCTTAAAAGCCCTTCAATTTTTTTGCTATTTTTCCATTATTGGCCAAGCTTCCAGTACATGATCTTCTAGAAGACCAACAATACCAAACCATAGCAGGGTGTTATATGGTAGTCATCTCATTTACGTGTATGCAAGAAATGTGCAGTTTCAGAATCCACCTCATATTTAGTGAATCAGAGTCTTTACTGTGATTTACATGTACAGTGAAGATTGGGAAGCCTATAGTAGAGAATTTTAAAATGGTGATTCATCTTTGATTTATTTGAACCTGGAATGGAGTCATTTGGAATATGTAACATTTTTTTCTTCTTCAGAAATGCATCTGCTTTCTCACAGCCTATAACAAATTACAACCAAAGTCAGTGATTTAAATGAGAGTCATGTATCATCTCCTGAGTCTCTAGGTCATCTCTACAGTTACAATTTGGCTCAGCTCGCTCATGCTTCAACTTAATTGGCAGGTTGTCTCGACTTGGGTGTTGTGTGATGGCTCTCACAGCATGACTTCTCCCAGCACTGTACCCACGCTTCTTCACATAGTGATGATTAAGGTGCTCGCGAGTGCATAGAGTGAGCAAGCACCAATATGCAAAAATACTCAAGACCCCACTTGCATCCTGTGCGCTATGGTCCGTTGAAAAAGCCCACATAGGGGCTGGGGATTTAGCTCAGTGGCAAAGCGCCTGCCTGGCAAGCGCAAGGTCGTGAGTTCAGTTCCCGGTACCGGAGAAAAACCAAAAAAA